ATTCTCAGGAATGAAACCCTTTATTTTCTCTATTGTTCATTTTGCTGTGTATGCATAAACTGGTTGTATTCAAGGCTAATATACAAAGTTATCCACCACAGTTTAAAATTTAAAGTAAAAAGAGAAATATGGAGACTTAGTACCATGATACCCCGGGAGGAATGCGGCAGAGTCACCGTAAAGCCGGGTTCGAATTTACAAGTTGTGTTTACATGTAAATTATTTTTGGTGTTTTACTTCCGAATACACTCCTTAATGCACTTGAAGAATACAGTTTACGTACTGTGTAAGTTACTGTTTTGTTGTGAGACCAGGTGATAAGGTCTAATGCTAAACATTTACGAGGTTATAAGGTTCAGCAAAGAAACAGCTTTAAGCCTGCGCATTTTCTAGGTTGGTTGGTTTCGATGTTGCATATCAACTTTGTTTGCGTGCCATCCAGACTATTTAATGGGCGGTTTTTCTCTCTTACAAATCATTAAAATTAATATCTTTGCTTCTCCTCCTTCCCGATCTCCTGCTTTTTCTGTAAAAAACGGCCTCTTAAAGCCCATTTATTTTACTATTTACTTTGCTTCAGTTCAAAACAGATTCATACAAAGGCCGAACCTAAATATTAATTAGCAACGGGCCGGAAAAGTGGTCAATGGGAGCGTGAATTGCGGATAAATTTAGCTTAAGCTAGGCATCTTATTACCCTTTTGCAAAACTAATTGAGCGCTCTTTATTTTCAGCTCGACAGTGCTGATGAGCAGGCTGCGCAAGTGCGGAGAGAACTCGATGGGCAGTTAGCTGCAATTGAACAAATGTCTCGCGTTAGTTATTTTCCTGTCAATGTTAAATATTCTCACATGTATTGTAATTATTAGAAATCTAAAAAGTACGCTTTACCTCTTTTCCACGTACATGTGTGTTTAGTTGTACGTATTTTGCTTATTTGAGTTCGACTGCTGTACGTTCTGTGCTCAAATGCTCAGTCGGATAAAAATACTGGCGGAAAGTTGGAGTCTTTTCTCCTGCTGATCATCTTCAAACAAAACCATAAACTTAGGACCTTAACATATAGGAAGGCTAACTTACAGAATCCGTTTTTACAGGTATTTTTTGTTCCCCAAGTGTCTTCAAGTGGCCCAAAAGTTCACAACGAAAGTGTTAGGCCTGAATTCAATCAAAACATAAGCAGAAAGGTATACTAAGTCAAATCGAAAGTTTGCCTGGCCTAGTCAGTCTATGGTTTATATTTTTCCAAATTTGAAACCAGCCTAGACAGCAGGATTTATTGAATTCAACAAATTTCGCGACGGTTTTTTTAACTGCATCCCGTCAGTTGTACCACAGTCTTCCATAGCTAAACACCTGCTAGACAGTGGTCACTCGGTCGACTTTAAACCAGCTTTCTCAGTACTTGTTAGTTTGCAAACAAATCGAGTCCCGCAAAACTTAAAAGTGGGCCACATACCTGTGCAGTGAGCTAGACCACGTGTTCAATCTCTACTTACCTTGGTAAGTGAGCAGCTAGTTTTAATGACGACTTGGTTTGCGTCAACTCCCTCACTCCTTTTTCTCTCTTTTGGCTGATTTAAAGTAATTTTCTTCAGTTGATTATTATTTAAATTGAACCATGACACTTGCTGTCATGTATTGACATTCTGTGAAATTCAGGCTTCTCTATGCTTTTAACCGTTATGTGACTCATGCAGCGATGGGATGGAGTTGAAAAGTCGTCGCAAAATTTGTTGAATTCAGTAAATCTTGCGATAACCGGAATCACACTTTTACTTGTCTGAGCTTTCGGTCTCCTTCTAGAGTCCATCGTCAGAGATAAAAGGCGTACACGAAAAACAAGCAACATTTATAGGACGCAGGGACCAATCAACCGTTATGGGGGAGAAGGAAGGGGGGAGGGGAGGGAACAGTCAACTGATAGTACCATCGTTCCGGAGATGCCTGCGCAG